TGTGTTCTCCCAAATCCTAATCTTCTGAATTCTTCATGTCCCTCATCTTTTCACTTTCCAAATTTATTTCACTGAATTTTACTCCTTGTATAACTAACATCTTCAAACCCTAATCTTTTCGATTAGTACTTATACTTTTACTCCCTCGATCACTATGGTATTTGAATCGACAATTGTATCTGTGTGCTAACGTGGTACGGCAACTCGAACTGATGTACTTACATACGAAGTTCTACGTCGTTGCTGACTGACACCTAGACGAATATTGTAATCAAATCACGTTACTTCAAACTAGTGTAAATGTTGTACATTACTTACTTACTTACGCCTGTTACCCCCAATAGACCATAGGCCGACGACCAGCATTCTACTACCCACTATGCCATGGGACTTCTTTTCTACTTCTATCCAATTGTTTTTACTCATCTCATGTCTGTTCAATATGTTCTTTGTTCTTCCTCTTTTCATGTGACCTTCAGGATTTCATATAAAGCATTACCTTGCGACACAACTTAGTGCTTTCCTCAATGTGTGTCCTATCCAATTCCAGCACCTCTTCCTGAATTCTTCCTCTACTGGAATCTGGTTTGTTCTCTCGCACAGTGGATTGTTTGCTGATAATGTCTGGTCAACAGATTCGATTTATTTTGCGTAGCCGACTGTACTTTTCGGATGATAGATTTCGTAGTTGTCCAAGTTTCCATCCCATACGCTAGAACTGTTTTACATTAATATATATATATATATATATATATATATATATATATATGTATATATATATATATATACATATATATATATATATATATATATATATATACTTGATGGGTTTTGTGGATATTATAGTGGAGTTCAACCAGGCCTGTTGTGAGATAGTAACTCACTGAAGATAATGGTGGATGTGTCGCTCAATTTCATGGATTAGTTGAAGTTAGACATTAACACCGTTGGATGCCAGTCAGCTCAGTGGTCTAAAGGTTAAATGCTCGCGCACAAAACCAGTAGGTCTCGAGTTGGAATCTCGCGGGGGGGGGCAAGGCCATGGATGCGCACTGTTGAGGAGTCCCACAACAGGACGAAACGGTCGTCCACTTCTTCCAGGTTCTCCATGGTGTTCTAGTTTCAACTGACTCATGATCTTAATCATTGAAATATATATATTACATTAACTCACTATTTTATCCCCAATATTTTCTATCAACTCAACAAGTTTATCCATTTTCACATGGCAAATGATTATTTTTCTCTCTTTTTTTCTTTTTATCTTTTTTCTCTTTCTTTTTTTTCTTTTTATCTTTAACTGAACATTTTTTTTGTCTCATTTTTCACTAATATGATTATGTGAATTTCTATGTTATTTTAATGTTTATTTAATTCACATGTGAATAATAATTGAAATGAAAATAAAGTTTTAAATGACTAATATAAACATGAACATGCAAAGAAGTCTCTTATTCAAAGGAATAGAAATAGACTTAAACGATAGTGGAAAGAATCATCAAACTGAATGAGTAGATGGAAGGGGAAATAAATAATGTTATTCATTAAGGAAATAGTTTTCTATGTTTTAAATTATTCACAGAAAGAGAGAGAAAGGATGGGGGGGGTAGGGGGGAGACACTATGATTGCCTTTGGCATTACTTGAGTTTCATTTAAGCAATAGAATAGATTTCTATAAGTTGTTGACAATTGAAGCATTTCTTTTTTATATAATAAAACAAACATTTTAGAGAAGAGAAGTTATCTATTTTGAGAGATAATACAATGGATTCCGGTTCAATGGTTTAGAGGTTAAGCGTTGGAGTGTGAGACTGATAGGTTCTGGGTTCAAATTCCGTGAGGAAGGATCTTGGAGTATATCAAAAGGACGAGTTGGCCATCCAGTGCTTCCAGGTTTTCTGTAGTGGTCTAGCTTCAATTGACCCATAATCTCAACGATTAAAATTATTATAATATCCAGAAAACTCCTTCTGATACTAATTAATATATACTCACTAGTGACTGGCTTCGAGAGGAATTTTCTGAAGTTCTTATGAGAAGCAGTGACCAGTGGAGTTCAAGCGAATATGTTGTGAGATAGTAACTCACTAAAGATAATAATGAATGGCCATGCAATTGCGTGGATTGGTTTAAATTAGACATTAACACCGTTGAATGCCAGCCGGCTCAGTGGTCTAGTGGTTAGGCGCTCTCGAGCGAGACTGATAGGTCTTAGGTTGGAATCTCGTGAGGCGGCATTATGAATACGCACTTCTGAGGAGTCTCATAATAGGACGATTTGGCCTACATATTCAAGAGTAATGTTATTTACATATTACAAATTAATCATAGATGTCATCAATTTCAATTGATCTGAAGTTTTTGAAAACTTATCCAAGCGTTTCAGCTAGATATCTGGATATATAAGATTCTTACCTATTTATAATATCATTTTGAAATTATATTAGAGATATTAGGTATTTTGAAATGATCCATAATGTTTGTCTTTCAGATGAATGTTTCTACTTGGTAGTATGTATACTAGATTGAATAGTTAGGTAACGAAGCTCAGTTTATCATTCTGCACAATATAATCAACAATACTTTAATTAAAATTGACGGTACTAGATCAGTCAGTTAGTCAGTCAGCTACAACGTGGGACCAGGCACATATGTGTATCGGTCCAAGTTGCCATACCTCATTAACACAACAAGATGGACACCTGATTCATAAAAGTATTTAATTCAGTGGTGGTAATATATAAAAGAAAGATCGCATATAAGGATATAGTACAGGAAGAAAGAATTAGTAGAAAGAAAGATGTGAAGTGATTTTAATCTCTTAGTTTAAGGTAAGACAGAGAGTGTTTACACCTACGCCATTGTGATCGATTTTGAGCCATGTCGCCAAGAGTCTCCAACGATTGGTTACAATAGTCATGCGGACCGCAACCAAGTAGTCTTCATCTACCAACATGGCTCAGACTAGAAGTTCGTGACTTCAAGCACTGATGCCACGACGGTACTAGATAATTTCTAGGAACATAGTATTCAATTTAATTTGGAATTATTACGCTTGTACTGTCGCCCACTAATTCCGCTTGTACTCCTTTTGGCACGATCTTGTTATTCGTTCGATGCCACGAGGTCGCCAACGAAATAAATCTGGTTACGCTCCATCTTCGCCTTCTGGTTTCTCTGGTACGCGCTTTCTTGTAGTGGTGTTCATAGTCAATCGCCACTCGACTCCACGGTACACTCTCACCGAAAATAGACGTTATTTATTATTTAGCTTTGAAGATATCCTATATATGAATAAGTTTAATAACCATTAAATAACATTATTATTACAAATAATCTTTTATAATTTATGGCTTTCAACTAAGAACTTCAAACAATTGAAATACTTTTGAAAGACTAATATTTGAATGAAGGATATTCTCTTCGATATATTCTCTTCAGGTTCTACAATTCATATATCCAAATTAATAGTCGGAAAGATGACTGAAGCAGTAGCCATCAAGATGAAGAAACCGGAGCTATATTTACAGAAGAAATATCTTCAACCGCTTCTCCCTCCTTAGCCAAACTCAAGGCCAATTAATCAATAGTAATCTTAGTTATTGAATGACCTAATTTAACTATTATACTTACGACCTTTCGTAATCAAATGTAATTATCTTTGTTATCTAAAGATAAAGATATCATTATTTTCAGAATGAGTTTTATGGAAATTTTAGTAAATTTCACAGGTTGAAATCATGAGTCAGTTGAAGCAACTGCTCACTAGTGACTGACTTCAGGAGAACCTCCTGGAGTTCTAGTGAGAAGCCGTCACCAGTGGAGTTCAACCAGGTCTGTTGTGAGATATCAGCTCACTGAAGACATTGGTGTTCGATGGCGCAACTTCGTGGATTGGTTAAAGTTAGACATTAACACGGTTGGATGCTGGCTCAGTGGTCTAATGGTTAAATGCTCGCGTGCGAAGTCAGTAGGTCCTGCGTTCGAATCCCGCAGAGGGCGGGTTCGTGCATGCGCACTGCTGAAAAGTCCCATGCTTCCAGGTTTTCAATGGTGGTCTAGCTTCAAGTGACTCATGATTTCAACCTGTGAAATATCATTATTTGTTAAACATCATTATTAATCTCTCCAATACATGATTCATTCACTTTGCATTCATCCCTCCTTATTACCTCTTACTAATTTATCACACAATATCGAATTGTAATTGCACTATTACATACCTCTCTCACTCTCACTGACCCATATTTATTCGGATCATGGATCGTAAAACTTTCACCTAACATATGAGTTGATTCAAGTTAACATATCAATAATAGCAGTTTTATTCTATTGTGTTTGCTAATCCTAAAGTTCACATTCTTTAATTTCAAACGATGTGACCATTTTGAGATGGTGGAGAAGATTTGTAGCTCAGGTGGATGATTTTGGTGGTGTTTTGTTCTCTGAGCTGGATGGTTTGGTCGTGGAGCTTTCATCGTTCTTCTGAACGACATCATCAGCACAATCTGAAGTTTGTGCTGATGATGTCGTTCAGAAGAACGATGAAAGCTCCACGACCAAACCATCCAGCTCAGAGAACAAAACACCACCAAAAAGATGTGACCATTTTTTGGCTTTATAATTTGGATATATGCATTGTAGAACGTGAATAGAATCTATTGAAAATAATATTCTTCATTCATAAATTAGTCTTGTAATATGATGGGGATATTTAAACGATTAAAATACTTTAACTTAAAGAATGCTATTTTAGAAAAAAAATTTTTGCGTTTAAACATTAACACCATTGAATACCGGCTGTCTCAATGGTCTGATGGTTAAGTGTTCGCTTGCAAAACTGAAGGCCCTGGATTAGAATTCCGTGAGCGGCATCGTGGATACACATTACTGAGGAGTCCCAAAATAGGACGAAACGACCTTCCAATACTTCAATGGTTAATCTAACATCAATCAGTTCATGATCTCAATCAAAGGCAAACAACACAGAACAATAAAACACTTTAACTTTTATTCACCATATTTCAATAAAATCTTCTGTACAAAGGAACAAAAAAAAAACTTTAAATTAATCATCATTTGTTTGTATAATCATTTAGCATTTGGTTCTCATTAATCCTTTTTTGTTTCTATACAGATAACACAATAAGTAAATAAATAAATAAATAAAATAGTAGCGAAGACAACGAATAGATAAGTTGGGAAAAATAAATAATTTTTACATATTGAATAATTGCATGTATATATATATATATATGTGTTTGTGTGTAGTGTGTGTGTGTGTGTGTGTGCAAGAATGTATGGTTTTGTGTGTGTGAAGTTGTTATCAAATAACCGAAGTAAACAGTTTTAATTAATGATGGTCATTCACTGGGTAAGTATAACAAGAACAAATATCATCCTCCTACTCATCATCATCATCGTCGTCGTCATCATCATTGAAAGAAGCAATTGAAATAGAAAACATTAGAATAAACACAAAAGATAAATCTAAGAACGTTAAACAGAGGAAATAAGATCATTCTATTTCTTTTCTTTCTTTCTTTACTTCTTTATTAAAAGAGTAATTGGATTGTGTTAGTTTTCTTATTTAGAATAGAACACTGTAATGATACAAACAACTGTTCTATTGAAAAGATAATCATTTGTGTATACTATACAAATCAGGCTGAATTGGAATATAAAAGGACAAACAAGAAATAAATACAAACACTGTAAAGTGAATGCACAAACAATGAGTGTGTGTGTGTGAGAGAGAGAGAGTGTGTGTGTGTGTGTTATTGTTTCGTTGAAATCTATCATTATCCCTATTTCATTGGTATTTTATTTGTTCATAAAGCCAAATCTGTACATAGGAATTGACAAAAAGAAAGATGAAAGTAAACTATGGTTTATAAAGTAGCTATTCTTATTATATTTTGGAAACAAAATCAAAACATTTTCATACATAGAACAGTAATGATAATGATGATGATGATGATTGCATAATCATTTCAGTGTAATACATCTACTTAAAACGAATACAATTTCTTAGTAACCTACTAAAGAGAAATATTTATAATGAAATGATAAATAAATATTATAGAAGAAAACAAAACAACATTATGATAGTCATAGAATATCCCTATCATTATTTATATCCTTAATTTTTTTTTAAAAAAAATCGACTCACGATTACATAATATTTAAAGAATACTGTGTAACTATGAGCTCAATTTTAGAGAGGAGGGGAGGGGGAAATATCCTATGCCAAAAAAAATAAATAAATCAATAAACCCACAACAATCAATCAATAAAATGAGTTAATAAGTAAACAAATAAATGAAAAGATTGAAAAATTGCTCATATTTATACAAAGATAAGTTTATACATTGTGAATGAAATGATAAACTTGTCAAATAGACACCTGACAACTAACTGAGAAATTATATAATAGATTTTCAACTAATAGAAGAATCAAATAAAACAGTCAAGCTAATAATAATAATAATAATAATAATAATAATAACTAATAGGTATTACAATAATAATGAAATTGGAATGATGATTACATCACTAATTAATGAAATTGTCATTCTGTGTTGATGTGTTTATGTGTATGTGTGTGTGTGTGTGTGAAAAGACTGGGAAAATGTAAATACCATGTAATTACCAAATAACATGATTACTGTATATATAAGTTTAATACACTTGAGCATAAGTTGAACTAGAATGCTCTTCTGGACTTAATGTTATACAAAATGTTGATGATGGAGTATTGGTTAATTCATGTTCATTTAATAACATTATTGGTCTTTGTATAAATGATTGTTTATCTAATGATAATGATGTATTCAATGATTGATTTTGATACTGTTGTTGTTGTTGTTGTTGATGATGATGATGATGAGGAGGAGGAGGAGGATGATGATGTGGATGATTAGAACAATTATTAGAAATATTATAATGATTTTCTCTATCATCATCACTACTACAATAATTTGAGTAGTATATATTTTGTTCATTTATAGATGATTTAGGATTGTTTAATTGTACATTATTATTACTATGATGATTTGTATTAAATAGATATTCTGTTTCATTATGTTTACTAGGTGTTATTATTATTGGGTTAGATTGTGGAATTTGTTTCTTTTCATTCATGTTTGGTATAGTTGAATGTGTTGTATGTGTTATTGATGATAAAGATGATGAAGATGAATATTCTATTGGTAATTCATGAGGTTTATCTGTTTTCCTTGGTGAACATTGATAATTCATCATACTATTATTATTATGATCATAAATATCATGATTATATTTTGGTGCTGGAGGTGGTGGTGATTTCGGTGGAGGTGGTATTATTTGTTTATCATCATAACAATACAAGTATCCTTCATTCTTTTCACATTTTGATGTAAATGAATTTTGATATTGTGTTGTTCCTGCCACGGTTGTTGTTGTTGTCGTCGATGCCATTATTGTTGTCGTTGTTGTTGTTGCCATGATCATCTTTGAATGATTTTGTTTTAAATAATTACTCATAGGTAAATGATTTGAACTAGTTGTAATTAAATTATTATCAAATTCATTTGTTACTATATCACTTGTTATTTTCTTCCATCTATAAGATTTTTCATCATCATTTGTTAAACTACTAGATGTTACAGAATTCGATTTATTTCTTAGATCTTGTCTTTGTGATAATTCAACTAGATCATGTTGTCCTAATGAAGAAAATTGTGATCTATTACCATTTTCTTCATTATTCATATTATTATTATTATTGGCTTGACAACAAGGATTTGTATAATTTGTATATGATGATTGATTAGTTTGTAACTGTGCTTGATGTAAATTACACTTTTTATAATCAATATTTAAATTGATTTTATTATTTGTAGTTATAGAAGGTGTTAAACTTTCATCAAATTCATAAGTTAATTCACTAGGTGTATCAATATTATTATTGTCATCATCATCATCATAAACTCCATTGTTTATAGTATAAAAATTGGATGTATGACAATTGTTTATTGATGTATTATTAGTAGTATTCATTGTATTATGAATAAGAGATACAGTTGCATAAGGTGCTACAGTTAATTGTGGTATATTTTCATTACAATTATATATTGAATGAGAAGATGATATTGTATCATTGATATGTTGTAAACTATTAATTGGTGCTATTGGTGCTATTAAAGGTAAACTAGTTAAACCAATTCGTGTAACTGCACAAAATGTTTGATCTATATTATTATATCCATTAGAAGGAATATTTGTATTTATTTGTGATTGTGAAATTATATGAGATTGATAACTTAAATAGGATGTACGTGATGTACAATCATTTGTGAAATGAATTAATGTATTTGGTCTTTGAAGTACAAGATGATTAGATTGATTATTATGTACATTTGGATTTGTAATATTTTCTGCTGTAGCATATAATCCAACATTATTTGTTTCATTTGATAGATGTGGTGAACGAGTTAAGGCTAATAGAGTTGGATTAAATGAATTGAATTGAGTATCATTAGACTCTTTGTTATTATATTCATTATGAGAATTATTAGTCATGTTATGTAAACTTTGATTTTGAGTAGTCGACGGATATTGACACCATCCCACGTATTTCACTTTATCCACAGTTTCTAAACAATTATCATTTTCTATATTAGGTGTTTCTGATCTTAATAATGGTTCCAATTGAACATGATCTTTTTGTAAATGATGTGAACTCTTAGAAAGTTTATTTTCAATCATGGAATTATTTATACTTGTACAAGTATTATTAGATCCATCAGCTACTGAACCACATTGTGAATTATTAGCTATGAGTACAGTACCAACAGATTTTCTAAATCGATAACGTTGATGTCTACAACAAAATGTTATTAGAGTAACAGTAGCACACCATACTAGTAAACTGCATATAATTGTCACAATAAGCCATGGTTGATTTAGAAAATCTGCCCCTTTATCATTATTTTCTTTTCTTTCAATACTCATAAATTGTAAAAGTTTACCAGTTTGTACATCAAAACCCCAACCAACGCCTAATCCTTTTTTGCGTAAATCAGGCTTTAATTGGATAGGTGCACTTCGTACTCCAATTCCTTTACATGTAACTGCAGCCATTTGAACAAAATATATAGTTTTTCCAGTTAATCCTTTAATTAATGTCTTTTGTTCAGTATAAGATAAATTGAAACTTTGATGGTTACTTGCATCTTCGTCATATACATATATTATATAACCCATTAATAGTCCGTTCCAATTGATGACAGGTGGTGGATCCCACGAGAGTTCTATGGTTGTGTTAGATATCCACACAGCAAATATTCTATCCGGTGGTGAACTTGGGAAGCTTTCAAAAGTTAAAACTTTAAGAGTATTACTTTCTCGACTTTCAATATTTTCCATCAAGGAGTTAGATGAATATGCTTTAACTTTGATTTCATAACATCGAAAGGCTTCAAGATCACGTAAAAGGCTAGTTTCCTGGATTGTTAGTGAGTTGTGAATGTCACTATATTTCTTATCTTTTTGATATTGAGCTTTGATATCAATGACCGTCCATGGGTCCAATGTCGCGTTATTGAATTCTTGTTCTTGTTTATTCTTAAAATTTTGTTGTAGATTTTGCATTGTTTCAAGACGAAACAGAGAATGTGAATCTATAGAAGTGGTAGATTTTATGCTACAGTACATTCTTTCTCCACTCTTCGTTGTTAGTCCAGTTGCATCTGAGTACATACCCTCCAGTTTGTTTGAAATGCACTGCATCAAGGGGACTTCTCTGTGATAAACAGAATAACCTTTTACCATTGATAGTACAGGGAGAACTTCTGTAATGGACCAGCTAACTCGCACCCTTTTAGGTGAAAGTGGATACAAATGTTGTAGTATTAAGTTAACATTTTTAAAGGACTTCAAAGCTTCTCTGTCCGATAATTGACTCTCTTGATGACTTACAACTTGTTCTTTTAGAGTTAAAACTGGACCCAGAGGAGCGCTAGCCCAACCTACTCTTCCCTCATTCCAACGAGGTCTAATTAAAAAATAATATATAGTTTCTGGTTGTAATCCTCCTAACTGTACAGTATGAGCGTGCCAATTTTTTTCAACCACTATCCATCCATCTGTTGGTCTATCAGGTCTATAGAGCTCAACCCAATAGGTAATCTGATGAGATTTCATTGGGTTACCTTGTGTGAATTCTTGTGAGAGAAGTGGGGGAAATGGTAGATCCCAAACTAGTATGACAGTCGATGACGTCACATTAGTAGCTTTTAGGTTTTCTGGCGGAGGAAGAGGACTTTCGTTGCTAATAGATACCGTTGCCGGTGATTCTTCAGGTACAACATCTAAGTAAGAGGTCCAGTTAGATTGCAAAGTAAATGACACCGAACTACCATCTAAGTAAGGTTTGATAACTGAATTTGCAATGCATGTGTAATTTCCAGAATCTTCTGTTCGTAAATTTGATATCTGAAGGCTACCTCGTGGAAGCAAAGTGTAACGCTGATCATAAGGCGGGTTTGAGATGTCTATATTTTCCTTTACACCATCCTTCGTAGACCTATACCATCCAATAGACCAGTCAGATAAGTCTGAGTAAGGCAGTGTTGATGCCAAAGATTCAGGCAGGCCCCTAGTTAATGCCAGTTCGCAATCCAATGTGACTATCTCACCGACGGTTCGTGTTTGGTTTGCAGGTGGAAGTCCAATTATAGGGGACAGCCAATGAAAATTAGATGGAGAAAATTGTCTTGGTTCGTTTTCAGAAAGTGAATATACATCTTTCGATGAATCCAGCTTTTTCTTAGACAGGTTAATGACGTGCAATGTTGCACTCGTATGAATTGTATCGATAGATGAATGCGCTGTGCATTGGTATTTACCAGAATCTTTTTGTCTGACATCTCTAACTTCTAAACTTCCTTCAGGAGTTAAATAATGTTTGCCATTATGAAATTCATTTATTGTTTGGTCACCGGGAAAAATGGGTGTTTTATCCGGAAGCTCCCAATAAATTGCTGGCAATGGATGCCCCGCTGCTACACAATGAAACACTGCAGTTTCTCCTTCGTTAACTGTCAGATCATCTGGTGTGACGGAAAATGCTGGTGGTGTATCAACTATGACCGTGGCATCAGCTTCAATACCTCCAGCAGCAGTGCAAATATATGTACCAGAGTCTGAAATCTGAGCGTTTCTAATAAGGAGATAACTTTCAGTCAATTCAGCCCGATTTGGATCTATTGGTTCTTCCCCAGGGCCTCGTTTCCATTTAACAACATGATTGCCTTGGACTTTACATTTCAGTTTTATATCACGTCCTTTCTTGACCCTAATATCTACAGGTGTTTCCAGAAATCGAGTACGTGATTTAACCATTAGATAGGCTGAAGGAGAAACTTGTTCACCGGCGTTATTAGATGCCACACAAGTATATGTTCCACTGTCTTTAATAGTGACAGGATTTATGTGCAAACTTCCGTCAATTGATATTTCAATATTAGACTTGAATTCATTTATCACAGAGATATTATTCCTAGGTTTTACTCCATTTTGTGCAGAAATCAAATTATTATTTTTTAACCAATAAACCTTAACTTCAGGTAATCCTATTGGAGGTATACATTCCATTACAACCTTATCACCTTCATGCACAGTTTTATCCACTGGTATTTGTTTAAATTGAGAACTTATATAAACTGTACCACCACGTACTGGAGGTTGACTTATTGTCCATCCAGCTGAATTTGAAGCATTACAATAAAATGAATATAATTTACCTCTTTCAGGATTAGAAATTAAAAGTTTACCATAATGTTGATTAACATGTATACCAGATGTTGTTCCACTACTTGGTACTTCATCAATAACTTGTTTACCATTAATTGCATCATACCATACAATATTAGGTTTTGGATAACCAGTAGCTTGACATGTGAATTCAAGTATACTATCTGTTGAAAATACATCTGATGGTGAATGAGTTATGACAGGTTTGATCATATTCTTTTTAGGATCTATTTCATTTCTATACACAGTTAATCCTATTCTAAACTGAATCATTAGAATTAGATATTGATATATTAAAGTCATCATTATCTGAATAATCTGCTATTGTTATTGTTTATTGTTTACGATCAATTATAATGGATGGATTAATGGTTCCTTGAAAATCCCAGTTTCTGAATTACTAAAAGAGAAGAACAAAAGAAGAATATATATATATATATATTCTATGATGAAAACCAATAAAATACTTTCAACATGAAGGTGTTGTTGTGTCGGTTGCTATGTTAAGCCCATATTACTTATTCTAACTGCTGAACAAACCGATTTATCCATTCTTCTTGAGTCATATATTCACCTTGTTAATTGACTGTTTTTATATGAGCGTATATGTGTAGATATATCGCTTATCCTACTCATTAAATGGCTGTAGCTTATTATTGTGTGACTATACATATTGATTAACGCTTGATTACATGGAATTGACACAGATGCCTTCTCCACTGAGTATCATTTCGTTTCGCTTAGTTTCTCTGATCATCTGTCTGGATCAATGATTGAAAATGTGTATATATATATTCGAAAATTCATTCTCGTATTATTCACTAATGCAATTTAAGCCGATGATTATACACGAGGTTAAGCGATATGTACATTTCAAAAGCAATCAGAAATGACTAAACTGGAGTCAGATATAGGGCCGCTAAAGAGTATTTTGATAAAAGGATAAAGAATATTTGTAGCTTAGATAGATGTTTTTATTACTGTTAAAACTATTGAGCTGAATGTTTGTTATATTAGACAAAATCATATACAATTGCTAATACAAAATAGTAAAGTTGAGTAGTAGTCAATACACACTATCAAGCATTTCTCTTATTTTTTTGGTTGAGATCATGAATTAATTGATGTTAGACCACCGTTGGAAACCTGGAAGCACTGGACGGCCGTTTCGTCCTAGTATGGGACTCCTCAGCAGTGCGCATCCACGATCCCGCACCCCGCGGGATTCGAAACCAGGACCTACCGGCTTCGCACGTGAGCACTTAACCATTAGACCACTGAGCCGGCATCCAATGGTGTTAGTGTCTAACATCAACATTGACGTATGTGTATACTGTGCTTAATTGTCTCGATAATGCCTTAATTCACAAGTGTTGTAAGCAAATATGGATAGTGGTTAGTGTTGGAATCTAGGATGCACGTTTCGTCCTAGCTAAATGGATAACGTGATGGGGTTTGAAGCGAACAGTACTTTGGATTCAAGTCCCATAGTGAACATCAACTCTCAGATGCAGGTATATCCAGCTGACGAGTCCCGTCTACCATGGGACTGAATTTCTTTACAATGCTTCACTACCTAGTGGATTAGACATTTAGGTCAAAGGCATGGGGTGTGGCCCCTAATAAAACCACCTGTTTCGGTTTGTGCACCAGAGCAATCTCCTAGCCCTCACATAAACCGAATAATTTATGTGGTAAATCAACCATATTTGGTTTTAGTTACCAAAATCCACTAAAATATTATGTGAAATATCATTTTTAAGAAAAGCTAAAAGTTACATTGATAGTGCAATTAACAACAAATCGTTGTCTCTTTTAAGACGATAGTTACTAACCTTTACGAGAACTCCAGTAGTCACTAATTACCTACTCAGTAACTTAACAGTTAAATTTCCTGAATAAAATCTTACTCAATAACAAGTGTCAAACACTATCAAAGTCAAAATCTTCAATACGAATGTTGAGACACTCATTTCTACTGTACGGAACTGAAAATTGGAGAACTACTACAACCATCATCAAGAAGGTACAAGTATTTATACATTGTTGTCTACACAAGATACTCAACATCCATCGACCGGGTATCATCAACAACAGTCTACTGTGGGAAAGAACAAACCAGCTTCCAGCTGAAAAGGAATTTAGGACAAGACGTGGAATTGGACAGGACATACATTACATCAAAGTACATCACGAGACAAGCCCTAACTTGGAATCCTGAAGAGAAACAAAAAAAGGAAGGTCAAAGAACACTATGTGTCGAGAATTGAAAGTAATCACGAAAAGGATGAACGTCAACTAGAAAGAACTGCAAAAGATTGCTCAAGACAAGCTTGGATGATAATTACTGGTGGGCGGTCTATACTTCTCCATGAGGGATAACACATGTAAGTAACTAACCAACTAACTCATACTTTATTTTTTCCTAAACTGCCATATAAATTTTCGAAAATTCCATTTCCAACATTTTCAACCATTCAATTCTAATCAAATAACATTTATTTAACATCTAGTCTGAGCCATGTTGATAGATTCAAACTACTTGGTTGGAGTCCATATGACTATCGTAATCAATGGTTGGAGACTCTAGGTGACATGGCTCAGAATTGATCACAATGGTGTAGGTACATACTCTCTCTGACTCCCCTTAAACTATGAGATTAAAATCGCTTCGTATCTTTCTTTCTATGAATTAATTCTCTCTTTCTGTACTATATCCTTATATGCAATCTTTCTTCTATATATTACCACAACTGAATTAACTACTTATATGAATCCGGTGTCCATCTTGTTGTGTTAATGCGGTATGGCAACCTGGACCGATGCATATATGTGTCTGGTCCTTCGTTATAGCTGACTGACTGATAAATAACATTTATAACTACTTTATATTATTTTCTTCTTTTTACATAACTTCAATGATAGTGATCAGATAACATTAATTGTTGTTAAATATTTCTATTCAATTCATTCTATTCAAATTTCAACAAACTTTCATATTACCTAATATACAACTAAAAAGAAAAAAGAGAAGAAGGAAAAGAAAAGCGAAAGTAAAAAGAAGAGAAAAAAAGAGAAAAGAAGAGAAAAAAGTACTTCTTTCCGCGTCATTTTCTTCTCTTATTTTATATATCATAGTAACTAATTTATCATTTAAGTTGAGACAAACCAACAACAAAAAAGATCTACAATTGAACTAAAAATGATGAACAGTTGTTCATTTAAATGATTAAGATTATTTTATGAATATTCCTTAACAGATCATTTAATACAATTAAAGAAAGATTTAAAAGAATTCAAAGACAAAAGAGAGAAGAGAAGTTCACATTGATTTGTATCAATAGAAATAAATATTACAATATAAACGTTTATATTTCAATAGTTGAGGTCGTGAGTCAACTGAAGTTGGATCACTATGGAAAACTTGGAAGCACTGGATGGCTGTTTCGTTCTAGAATGTGATTCCTCTGAAGTGCGCGGTTCAACCGGGTCTGTTGTGAGATAGTAACTCACTGAAGATAATAGTGGATGTGTCGTTCAATTTCATGAATTGTTTAAAGTTAGATAATGATATTGTTGGATGCCGGTCGGCTCAGTGGTGTAGAGGTTAAGTGTTCACGCGCAAGACTGATAGGTCTTGGGTTCAAATCTCGTGAGGCGGGATTGTGGATACTCATTGTTGAGTAGTCCCACAGTAGGACGAAACGGCCATCGAATGCTTACAGGTTTTCCATGGTTGTCTAGCTTCAATTAACCGATGAATGCAACTATAAAATTACTAAAATCTCCATAAAATTCCCTTTTGATATTAATATTATTAGTCAAATCCTCAATCAATATGGCCCATCATTCATTTTTTATGATTCTTACTCGACTAAACAACATACGTTATAATTTCCGTGCATTATTTTTGAGAACCAGTATAATAAGTTATGTATATTCTTATTTAAAGCGATAATTCTTGAAGGATAAGCTTATAGTATAGAATCCATTTGTTTTACGATTGATTATTTAAAAACATTACTCCCTTCGATAACTTCGGATGATATAATAAGAAGGCAAAGGTTATCTTGTTGACCATTTGTTTGTTTTTTCGTATATAATGTCTTAGCAAGTATTGGTCCCCCCCCACTTACTATCATAATATCATAGTTTACAGATTTATTAGGTCATAATACCCTGTTACGGCCGAGAGTGGTGAGGGTCAGCTCTCTCTCTCTCTCCAAATACTCTCACATGGCCACATGTATACAACCACTGACAGGGAAATCTTACTCACTGCCTCCTCGCAACACGGGTGTTGTTTACGAAATTGAGAAGACAAAAGGTAAATATTCGGTGCTTCAACCAGGTTGGTGGGCAAGGAGAGTTCACCCACAAGAGTCATTAGCTACTTCAATGGTGATTACTATACTTATAATCAACCATATATTTATGTTAAAAAGTTATCTATGTACTTCTAAAACTTGTTTTCATAATAAAATGTGATATTTATGAAACAGTTGTTAATACAAAACTAGTCGATATTATTATGTTACTGACTGTAAACAGTAAGCGAATAAGAGAAAGGAATATACATTTTGATTGATGTTCTTATCAATACTTTTTAGTTTGTGCTTTTTTATTTTGAACCTGAACTATTATGTCTAGTTTTTTCCTCCCCTTAAACAGTAATGAATTCTTGATGAATTTAAGTTATCACTAGTGACTGACTTCAAGAGGCATTTCCTGAAGTTATAGTGAGAAGGCCGTGACTGATGGAGTTCAACCAGGTCTGTTGTGAGACATCAACTCACTGAAAACAATGTTATACGGTGGTGCAATTTCGTGGATTGATTGAACTTAGACATTAACAGCACAGGATGCCAGCCTGCCCAGTGGTCTAATGGTTCAGTGCTCGCGCACGAGACTGCTTAGTCCTGGGTTCGAATCTCTCAGGGGGCTGGATCGTGGATGCGCACTGCTGAAGAGTTCCACGATAGAATGAAACGGCTGCGCAATGCTTCCAGGTTTTCCATAGTTGTCTAGCTTCAATTCACTGATGATTTCAGCTATTGGAATTTAAGTTAGTCGTAGTTACAGATCAAATTAAAACGGTAATTGACTACATCGTTGTATGCAAAGAAATGGGTTTCTTATATTAAGGTTGAGTATTTGTGTATTAATAATCCATATGATAGTCTGATGGGTAATACTGTTGTTCATGTAACTCATGAGCACAAGGTATTTATTGTGTTTTACAGATAGTTTGCTAGATCATTGATGATAAACTGAAGATTATTTATTTGAATGTTAATAGCCCTTACCATTGGTAATGTATATTTGGGTCTATAGTCAGCCTTTAATGTAAATTTATACATGATACAATTATCAGCTGAATATTTTTCATGTACCTTCTAC